TTCTCTGATAAAGGTATAGCTAAAAACATTTTTGAAAATAAATTTAATTTAATTTAAATATTTAATTAAAAAAATAAGATTTACATTCATCAGTCACTGTCATAATGAAACAACTATTTCCAGCTCTTGTTTCACATAATACATCTCGACGTACTATATCACGTGGTCGTGTCATTGTTAAATGTTCAAGATCATCTTTTAAATCGGTAAATGTATATGGATAACAATGAGCAATAAAACATGTATCACCCGTATAAGAAAAATCCTAAAAATATTTTATATTATATAAACATATAAAATATATATATACACATACTAATTGAAAATCTAATTCAAAATAATTTAAATCACGTTGTAATAATGGATTATATGATCGTTGTTTATATTCACTATAATTAATATGATGACCGGCACGATTACATCCTGGTGAAACAAATGCTAGTTATATGATGCGTGGTCTACTTGGTAAGTTTTCATAAAATTTAATCAATTAAAATAAAATAAAATAATATATTTTTTGTATTAGATTTTATCACGTCGAATGATGAAACAGCACAAGTAACTAAATCAATATATTCTATTATGTTGAATCAATTTTTATTTCTAAACTATGTTTAGAAATTAAGAAAGTTATTAGTTTTTAAAATTGTACCAATGCTAAATCCGGACGGTGTAATAATTGGAAACTATAGGTAGGTAAAAATTTTTATTTTCAAACTATATTTTATTCTTCTTTTTCTGTTACTCTTTATACAGATGTTCATTGACGGGCAAAGATATGAATCGTAATTTTCGTCATCCTAGAAAACAAACATTTCCTACAGTTTATTACATTAAAGAACTTATAACGAATTTACAAAAACAACAACATGAAGTAAAAACAATTACCATCGATTAATATACAATGATATATTGATGAGAAAAATGTTTTATATATTCTTTAGATTTTAGCATTTTGTTTTGCTACTTGATTACGATGAGATTTTTCCATATCATAAATGAGTATTGGATGTTTTAATGTATCTGTATAACGTAACATGGCTGGTTGATTATCATACGTTTGTTGATGATGTTGTTGTTGTTGATTTGTAGAAGAATCTAAAAGAGTAAAAAATAATCGATGTTGTTTTTTTAAATGTAATTAAAAATAATTATATACATCTATAGATATATAGATGATTACACACTAGATGAACATATATAATATTCTTTAATATTTTTATTTCGATTGTTATTTCTTTTTGAATTATTATTATTTTCAATAATTGAAAATAAATTAAATGATGGTGTTGGATGTTTAATTGGATGAGCCATTGGCCAAAAAGGACCGTGTACATCGACAACAATTCCCGTATTAATAAAACAATAATCAATTTTAATTGAACCATCAGACATTAATAATTTACGTTCTTCATATATTCTATTACGTGCATCAGAATTTAAAAATAATTTTTTACTTGATTGTATTGTATTATCATTAAGAATATTATTTTCGCCTAAAATATCACCATTTTCTCCTTCATCTTCACCATTTTGACGAGTATTAATTTTTATCAGATTTGTTAAATTAAAATCTTCTCGAGACCATATCGATTGACCGATTCGAACCGTTTTCATTTTATAATAGACATTAGATTCTCTTGATCAAATACGAAAAAAAAATGATAGCAAAAGAAAATAAGTGTAAATGAATTTTTTTTCTTTTGCCTAGAGAAGAAGAAGTTATTTGTTCTTTTTATTATTTTCTTTAGATTGATTTCATATTAAATGAAATTTGCACATTTATTGTTTATTCAATCATAGTCGAGTGTGTGTGCGCGATACACCTATAAACACACACACACAATTTAATCAGTTAACACAAAAAAACAGAGACACACACACACACACACACACATACACATTGTTTGTTTTTTTTTTGTATACAATATACCTTTTATGAAAAAAAATCATTTTTCTATCGATAATCAATGGTAAACACGATTACTTTACTTTAAACTAATTTATTTTACCTACACTTTTAACATGAGTCCGAGAACATAAATGACGAGTTATGAATAAAATTATCGATTTAATCTTTTTTTTTCTTATTTTAATAGAATCGAATTATATAATTTTTTAAAACTGTTAAGGAAATTATTCGTTTCTAAGTAACTATTATTTTTCTCCTATTTCATGTACTAGTTAAAAATTGAATCGAATCATCGTTTACTTTACATCTATGAAGAATTATATTATAAGAGGAAAAAAAACCAATAACTCATTATGTGTTATTGTCTAGAATAATCTAAAATCTTGTATATGAAATGAAAAAGACAAAAAATAATATTTTTTAACTTACTTAAATTAGACATTAAATAATATTCTTTATTTTGATATGATTGTGAAACTAATTTTGGTGTTGGATGTAAAATTTTAAATTCTTTTGGCCAAAATGGACCATGTTCATCAAATTCAATACCATATTTATTAATAAATTTTCCATTATCCAATTTTGAACAATCAAGTGCAATTAATAAATCTTCTTTATTTGATTTAACAATACTATTACCAATTAAAAATGAATTATCATTTTTATTTGAATCAACCATATAATAACGTGATGATGAATCAAATGTTTGTGACCAATGATTAATTGAACCATGAAGTAATAATTGATCATTTTGTTGTTGTTGTTGTTGTTGTCTTGAATATTGACGATTATAAGATGAAAAATTTTCTAAATCAAAATCAGATAAATATTTTGAATTTTGATAATTATGAAAACGTATATGTCCATTTGAATATTGTTTTTGATTTAATGGATGTAATATACGTTGATTTCTTAAATCAATTTCACTCCATGGATCAATATAAGAATTTGTTGAAATAACAGTTGTTGTTGGAGTTTGATCACTAAGATAAAAATTTATACCTTTAATACGAAATACAACAGTTGAATGTTGAAAATTATTAGATTCTTGTAACATTTTTGATTATACGTCTTTTTAGTTTTAGTCATTTTTATATATATATATATAAAAGTAAGAAATAGTCTCATTCTTGGGAAATAGAGAGACTTTTTTTTTTTTGAACGATTTTAAATTTCATTTCCTGTTTAGAAAAGAAAATCTTGGAAGACAAGATGAAGAGAAAAAAAAATGAGAGAAGAAAAATTTCATAAACAAGCGGGTGTCTTAGAAACTAGCTGGTTTTTTATTTTTGTACAATTTCCGTTTAATTTTAAAATTAAAAAAAATGAACACAATATTTCCGTCATTCATCTTCGGTGAGCATCATATTAAATAGAAAATAATTTTTTTATATGAATATATCTATAGAAAGACTTTTTTAATTTGTCTATTACAAGTGATTCCGTTTTGAATTATTATCAATTTTTATTTGCCTAATTGGAATTTACTATTAAACTAAACATCTATATCTAATAGAAAACATCTCGTAACTAAAGTAGAAATTTTTTTGCATTCTTTTTACTATAAGAGTCTATTTTAAAAATCATTTTTAAGATGTAAATTAATTTCCAACTATTAGAAGAAGAAGAAAAAAAAAGAGTACAAGAATATGAAGATTAAAAAAACAGTCATTTATTTTCTTTAATCTATGTCTGAACAATGTCTTTATAGAATATTTGACGTATTCGATCATTACAATGTCGACGTAACCAACGACAAAAAAAAAAAACGAAATTTTTCTGATTGATTTTTAAAAAAACGAATTTTGTTCACGTAGAATACGTTTTTGGCTTCGTTATAAAGTTCAAGTTTATTCTTCTTTTTATTCTGGAGTTTTAAAAAATAAAAATATCAAAGGAAAACAATCAACATAGCAAAATAGACTTTAGAATCCAACAAACATTTACCTCTTCAGATAAAATGACTAGAATAAGAAACCTATCTTTAGTTGTCTAAAGATAGAAATAAGTTAAATCAAAAATGAAAATAAATTGTAGGAAGCGTATAACATTCTTGAAAATCTAAGATTTACGTTTGTGTGACGGAAAATGTTAAACTTCTCTTTATAAATAGGCAGTGCTTAATACAAGGGAGGGGGAGGGGGAAAGTGGATTGGGGGATTTTTTGGGACTTCCAGACATACACAAATGTGGAAAAACTCGGAGACCCTCTGAGAAGCTGGAGAAACTAGCGAAGTCTACGGGAGTTCAACAAAATCAGAAAAAATCCAAGAAATCTCGATAAAATCCACAAAATCTAAAAATCAATGGGAAATACGGTTTTTTCTGATATTTTGGGGCTCTTAGGTGTATAGAAACGTAGAAAAACTTTTCTTTTCTTGTTTCACGAAGTTGCGTGGAACACCATGAAGTCCACGGAAATCGAACGAAACTTGTTGAAAATTGTCAGTATCATGTATTGAGCTCAAAATTAAACTAATGCGAAATCCGCTTTTTCCCCCTTGACTTAATGTGACTAACTTTGTTTCTACAATCAGTTGTCAAATAAATAGATCAGATCATGAATTCTAATGTTATCGATTGAGACATTTTTAAACTGACACTTCATCTGAGATATAAAGCAAAATATACCATAGATAATCATCATTTCCCACCCACCGATTTCTATCGTGAACGTTGAAACGATAGTTTAGATCAAACGAGTATGTCGATAAAGACTTCATGCTTTTTATTTAACAAGCGTTTGACGTCCTGGATACTATTGGTATCTACTATGGACCAGTGTTAGAGGTGAGTGCGTGAGGTTCTGGGTCACGACGCCATTGGTGAAGGTCTAACTTGACTCTTCGACGTTCTCAATTTATTAAAAAACGTAATAATACACGTATCTATATTTTTTTTCTATCCTTTCTCGCTGTAAAGATATATATATATATATATATATGTATCACCAAAACAGAAAAACAAAAAGAAAGATATGTGAACTGTGTCATGAAATGGCAGATTATCGAGACAGCTAGTCAGTCATATGGTTAGCCACTAGTTAACTGGCAATCAAGATGATTTCGAAAAACTCCTGTCAGGTATAGTCAGGGAGAGCTTCAGACCGAATCTATTCTGCAATAATGCACAATTAAAAAAACACTGGATATGTAGTAGATAATCCTGTGCTTTTATACACTACACAAAAGCTTTCTTTTGTACTTTAAGAAGATCCCACTTCGCAACTGCC